TAAGGCACCCCGGTTCACCAAGATGCAAGCAATTATTGAATGCACACTTTGCAGGTTCACTATCTTTAAGCACTTTGCGGATCTAAATCCATAGTAATAAGATTGGAAGTTACTCATGAGATCCACATAGATAGATTGATTCAGATATTGTTCAACAAATAAACAAAATTTAGAGACGAAGCAGTGCCATCAGGACAGACCTCCGGAAAATGATGTGCAAGAGAATTCTTTGTCACTTTAAGCAAACTAGGCTGGTTAAATCCTGGAGTATCAGCAAGATACCCCCCATCAGGCAATGGAAGCAAAGACACGTGCCTCGTCGTATGTTTTCCTCTGCCACTTCTTACTGACACTTCCCCCACACGTTGCTCTTCATACCACTTGCTCCCTAGAATCTGCTATCATAATAAAGAAAAGGAAACACTAAACCACAGGGTTCTAAACAAAATAATGTTATACATAATATAAAATGATGAAAAATGACAAACGCACAGGATCAAACGAGTTTTGCTCTTTGACTGCACCAAGAATGTGCTTATTGCCTCTCAAAGCATTGATCAGGCTGGATTTCCCCACGCCACTTGGACCAACAATGACAGATGTTTGTTCTCTCATAATGAACTGGAGTGTATCAAGTCCACGCTTGGAATCAACACTGCAAAAGATTGGTTCATAGGCCCAACTACGAAGCCTAGATTTCCATGCTTTTATTTCCTGCAGAAGTTGTTCACTGGCTTTCAGCGTCTAGAGAAATGACCACAAAATATAAGCAGGAAGGAGAAAAGTAGTATCAAAACTGAAGCACATAAAGAAGTAGTCAATAGTGCTTAGATGTTACATGATTTTCTCAGTCAAAACACATTTTCATAAATAGACAATCCAGAATCCTCCTTGTGTGTTCTACTTTTTTTTAAAATAAAAAAATGATACTGTTAAAATTGTGTGTTCTATTCTTTTGCTTCTCTCTTTTGTCAGTTTGAGTTCACTCTTTGAAAATATAACAATCTGATATTGTATTTTTCACCTCACATCCTAGCCCATTACAAAGGTAATACAAAAGCAAAGACAAGTGTATCCCATTCTAAGAAATGGTATATAAATCTACGTCAAGCATTGCAACTAGTACTTGAGAAAATCAAAAAAGAAATGACAACAGACATGTAAAAGGATGCATAAACAAATTAACAAGTAATCACTCACTAGGAATCATCCCAAGGCATAGTGATGAGCTGATAAAGGACCTGATCTGTGAAATGGCTACACAATTCATTTAACCAAACCAAACAAGTTTGGGATTGAGATGTAGTTAGTGGCAGACCCTATTGAGAGAGGGGCTCACGGGCACCCGCTAACCTCAGAGATTTCTTTGTATAAATCTGTATATACCATGAAAGAATGATCATATATCAAACCAGAACCTCTGAAACACAAAAGCTAAATCGGCACGCTGGTGCCCCTCAACTGTGCCCGCTTTACTCAGTTACTTGGGATCAAATCTTAAGCTACAACATTCCATAATGTATTCTTTTTTATTTGGAATTTAACGTACGCCTTACTGTTATAAGGGCAAGGCCATAATCTTTTGACCTTTTCTACTAGGTCAATCTTAAATTGAAAATTCTATATTATAGAGAAAACTGTATATTTGGTCTCCAAATTAATGAAAATTTTGATTTTGGTCCTTGTGACGTATAATTCAACACATTTAACTTTCAATGAATCAAAATGTGTGCTTTTGGACATGGATGTAGGAAATATGCTATATTTGAACTATTTTTGAAAGTATATTACCCTCAAATATGATGATATTAGCTGAAACTGTTTTTTTCAGTTAGTCTTTTCTCTATTAATGTTGAAGCCCCTGACTATGAATATGTAGCATTAAGTACGAATAAGTAGCGTTAAATCTCCTCTCTTTTTTTTCAGTTAGTCCTTTTCTAGATGGTTGGAGTATATTGTGACTGCATTTTGTTTATGTTGTTATTTATTAAAATAAAAAATGACTACGTTCATGGAAGCACGGGTGATTTATTGCCGCGATATTGGCTCCCCCTCCACGCTCAAATCCTGGAGGTAGCTGATTGATATAACAATATGCTCATCTAACCTGTAGGTTACTATTCATCTACCAGTGGCAAATCAAAATTACTAGCAAGCAACTCAATTTATCCAAGTAATAAGTACTTGTCAACTAATCAAATGCTTGAATACATGTGGAGTGAATATCAGTGTTTGTGTATTTCTAACCTCTTGAGAAACAAGTTCTGATTTATTCAAGGCTAGAGTGAGAGGAATTCCGGTTGATTCAGCTTCTACGAGGAACCTAGTGAGTGAGAATGGCTCAATTTTTGGCTGATCCATAGAGAACAACACTAGCAAATGATCCACATTAGCTACAGGAGGATCCAAAATCTCTGTCTTCCTCTGAAACACATTCTCAATAGCTCCGCGTTTATCCACCCAATCAATTGAACCTACCAAAACCTTATCCCCAACCAAAACTCTCCTCTTAATCTTCTTCAACACAGCCTTCACCACACACAACAACTCCACTCCAATTTCACCCGAACTCTTACTGAAGCTTCCAGAAGTTTCTGGAGGAATATGTTGGACTACAACGCGCATGAAATTCGCTTGTGCAGAGGCCACAGTTCCTACGGCTTGGTCGTGAGAGAGTTGAGGCTTGTCTTCCAGAGAAAGAATCGGTGCCAGAGTAGAGAAATGTTTATTGATAGTTTCACGAGCTTTGAGGAGATTTTTATTCGGTTGTTGGAGCTTCCTTGAGACATTGTTAGGGTTTTGGTGACGGCCGGCGGCGACGATGAAGGCGGAGAAGAAGCGGTGGCGAGTGGCGGAGACGGTGAAAGGAAGCCGAAGAAGTGAAAACGAAGCGATCTTCATTTGTGTTAAAGGAAGAGTGAAGTTCTAGCAGAAAGAAGTTTTGTAGTGAAGCTCTGGAGAGTCACTGGGTAGAATCCACTGGGTTAAGACACACACCAACTATGCAGGTTTAATTTGGACACAAAAGTGTGATTTTTTTGGGTAACTAATTTGATTTTATTACCAAAGTGGAAGTTAAAAGAGCATAAGAAACATGTAAAGGGTCACAATTACAACATGTAAAGGACTAACTTATCATCTCCTAAGAATAATAGATAAGTGCATTTAGCTTTGATCTCGCAAGAGTGCTTCAGAATATCTTTGTTTCATCTGGAACATACTAGTATTCCTCTCTTTCCATATTGAATACAAGCAGCATGCTAGGGACAATCTATATAAGCTTGCATGTGATGATTTGCCTTTTGCATAAACAATTGCGCAACTTAGTTCATCCTTCCAGTCCATTCAGCATCTTTGGATGTTCATCCATTGTAGCACCTTTTCCCATATTGTAGCAAAAAAAAGGGCATTCGAAGAAAAAGTGATGCAGAGTCTCGTCTACATTGGTACATAACACACATGAGGTATAAGTAATTAGGGTTGGGCATTCGGTAATTCGATTTTTTTGATTTTCGGTTTTTGAAATTATTGTTCCAAACACCGAACCGAATTAATTCGATTCATTTCATTTTTTTTTAAAATTCAGTTTGGTTTGTTATAATTCGGTTCGGTTTATTAAATTCAGTTTTTTGTTATGGGCCTGCTTAGTGGGTTTTTTAAAACTTCATTTTTTTACAATTTTTTGGTTTGATTTTTCAGCTTAAATGGGCGAAAAAGATTGATTTCCCACACTTAAGTGAAATTCAAACAAACAAAAAAGAAAACTAAAGAAGAAAGCAGAAAATGATCAAATATAGATCGAAAAACTGGAGGGTGGTCGTCGCGGTTGAAATCGATGGTTGTCGGTTGCCGATCGCTGGTCGCGACACTACTGCGGAACTTGAACCGAAATAGTACCTTGGAAAGTTGGAAGAGAAGCAGAAGCTATTAGCGAAAACCTACTGAAAGTTGGAAGAGAAGCAAAAGCTTGGAAAGTGTAGCGGAAATTGATGTCACGATCCGAGCCTACATCCTAGACATGGGCGACATTCGAGAACCATTACTGGCCCCAATCGAACCCTCATCCTGGTTGACTACAAGCGGAAGACTAACTCATGCATACACAAGCATCAAACTAAAAGAAATATTAAATCAATAGTGTAATAAATCTCAAAACTCTCTAAATATACTGAGTATGAAATATAAGTTTTAAATAAAACATCTAAAACTGAAAGACTCTCTAAAATTGTCTATCTATGAAGCCTCTACTGTACAAAGATGAGTGTCGGGACAAGACTCACGGCGCCTCAAGAGAACTACTACTGACAACCCATAAAACCGGAGTCCTCTAGAAGCAAGAAGGCTTCACTCAAAAGCTGACGAGCGGATGAAGTGATCTCAGCAGACTCTTGCTGAGGATCCCAAGAACCTGTATCTACATCATTAAAGATGCAGGTCGAATGACATCAGTACATTGAATGTATGAGTATGTAATATAGCTGTGTTGACACCCAATTTTGGCCCTCCACTATTAAATTAATTTTCAAGCTTCTTAAATTTCAAACAACTTGAAGTAATTATTTTGAATAATAAAAAAATTACTTTTGAAATTATTTTCAATGCAATTTCCCATTTTTCTATAAAATATATCTCTATATACTTAAAATATATAGATTTATATAATTTTCAATTTTTGAATAAATATTTAGAAAAACATTTTACCGAAAAATAGAGTTTTAATTAAATACTAATCTTATTTCCTTTAAAACTGATTAGTTCACAATTTAACTAAGATCTTTCTTTTCGAAACAATTATTTTGTGTTGTTAAAATTTAAGAAGGTTGAGTAATTAGTTGAGTTTATAATTCGTTTCGTTCCCGTTTTATCAATTTAAATTCGATGGATATATAAATCAAAGAACTTGTTCCCTTTGAAACCATCTTAATGGATTTTATTCACTTCAAATTTGGACCATCAAATCGCCTTTAACCAAACATTTTTTAGCGACCCGGCCCATTCTTAAGCCCAAAATCCTCCATGCTCTTCTCCTTCTCATTCTCAATACAGAGACGCGAGAACAGAACAAACCAAAGAACGAACCCATTCCCAAATTTGCCGCCTTAAATTTCCCCTTTTTTACTTCATATTCGTACAATCTGCGTGCTTAGCACGAGCCTAAAGACACTCGGAGCTTCCGGAGGCAACCATGGTGTGGTCCATTCCAATTTCCTTTTTCTCTTCATTTTCATTTCAAATTCGTACACTCCCCAGCTCATACACCTTATCCACTGCGAAAATTGGAGATTTCGGCCTCACCCACATCGTTTCTCAAACGATTTTCAATTTGCAACAGTCCCATATCGAGATTTCTTCCATTTTGGAATTTTTTTTGGTTTTTATATAAACCAACCCCATTCACTGTTCAAAGGGACGGTTTTTGGAGATTGAGAGTACCCCAAAAGGGTTTGGGAATTCTCGGCTCAATAGTTTAAAGTTTTGTGGCTTTTGTGATCATTCGAGTTGAAAGAGGTAGTGGAACCGTCTCCGTCAAACTCATCGTCCGGTTCGCTGCCCACAACCAGGTAATCTTCTCTTTATTTCAACATTTATGTTGGCTCTTAATTATGTCTTGTTCATTGAAATGTGTTTGGCATTAGCTGTTTAAGTATTTTTCTAATAGATTAAAAAAAATAGCAAAATTGCTCATCTTTGAACTCGGTTAATTTATATGTAGGATAGTCATGCCTTAATTTCAGCATTTGCTATTGTCTTGGGATAAGTTTAATTAGTGTTGAATAGAGTTAGAGTTGTGATTTTCATGTTCAAGCATTCCTAGCTATTAGGTTGGATTTTGTAACTTGAATTCATTTTGATTTGGAAAGGCTTTTGAAGTATCTAGTTTATCTTGATTGATTAACCTATCTAAGTGGTAATGAAAATCTGAAATATGGAGTTTAGTTTTATCAGTTTTAAGGTTTTCATCTTCTGTTTTTTTTTCTTTGAAGCCTGTATTCGTTGTTGAATGTCATCTATGTCTGTCTATTTTGTAAAATCTGTTGGTGTGATTTGTCAAATAACAGACCATTGGCTTTCAATGCCAATCGAGAGCCTGTCTGAGTGAGAAATTGCTTACCTTTGGGGCTGCTCTTTAACACTCTCCAAAGAGTTAGGCTGGGATGGATGAAAGCTCATATCATAGCTTTTATACGTCCTAAAATTTATTAGATTACTCTACTTAGATCCTTGTTTAAATTCTCTAAGTTATTTTATATCTCCTTGCTCTTTCTTGTTTGCCTTTCGTATATGCTAAATGAATTGGCTTAAAACTTGATCAAGTTGAGTCTAAAGTTGTTTATCTTTAAACTATACTTGAATCTGTTTCAAACTCCTTTTTGGTTTGATCAAAGGTTGTGTTAAAGTAGGAGTAAGAAACCTCTGTTTAGTTGTTGTCATAATTAAGTTGTGGCTGCCTATTGTTGTTAAGTGCCTCCATCTTGGAAATGTTATTTTATACACAGATTCTAAATTGCTTATGAAATTATGTGGTGTTCAAATAATTTTGACAATATTATAAATATGTTCTCGTGTTCATTTACTGATTTTAGGTGCAAATATACCACTCTTTTCTTTACTGTTTGTAGTTAATCTAACCTCAACTGCCGTAAATCTTCAAGTGCTACCCTTGATTGCCCTTAGATGTTCTTTGTTGTAATTCTGGTTCAGTAACTCTAGATAGAGTTTTGCTTGCTCTTGGTAGTTTTTTCTTTATTGCTGTGTTTGAATATGGCTATCTGTGTCATGTCTTAAATTAATTCATGTTGACATCAGCTTGTTTCCTTAAGCAGTAAGTTCATATTTACTTGATATAGTTCTTTTCTCTAATTTATATTTGCTTTATCTTTATTTTTTCTGTGATCGATAGTAGTATATGGTTAAGTTTGGTATAATTTTAGCCATGATAAACATGCCAATTAGAGTTTTGAGCTCACATGACATTGTTTGTTTTAAGCTCAAGTTGATATCATTCAAATGTTGTTAATCTTTTTCCCTTTTTTCCTTGGCATGAACTCTCTCGTTTGAGTCCAATTGGACTCCTATTCTTGCATACTCCTCTCCTCGAGTCAACCTCCTTTAAGCCAATTGAAAGGAGGTTAATATTACTGGGATAAAACCTAAGAGCCAGCCACTACAGCAGCCTTGAAAGGCTGAGAAATGAGAAGCGAAATTGGGTTAAAAACCCAAAATCAGAAGCAGCAACAGGGGCACAAAAGAGCTGAAATGAGAGTGTTTTCGGTTCAAATTGGCCGAAATTAGAACACTTGGTTTTTGCACCAGTTTCAGTAGTCTCAAAAGGCTGGAAATATCATTTTAGCACCAGCAGCAGCAAATAAGAAGCAGTAAGTGTACTTAAAATTGTCCAAGTTCTATTCGCCCTTTTATTCTTCTTATATTGTGATTTTGTGATAATTGCCGTTAATTGATACGCTCAAATTACACCTCTTTTCAGAAGCATAAGCGATCGTTATCACGTAAAGAACCCAACTTGTAGGTTGGGGTCAATTTCACGAGGAATATGATTTATACTTAAGTTCAATAACGATTATATTCGTTTAGCAAATGTATTTCCGAGACAAATAAGTAAAAGGGGGGGGGGATTTGTGTAACAAATTTTGGAAGTTATGAAAGTAATTAGTAAGCAAGATTTAAACTTTTGTTGTTATCAAATTGAGAAAGAAACTAGGGAGTACGTGTTCCCCATAAGCTCATAACTCTGTAATCCTAGTAATAGCAATCTCTTCCTAGTGTATTACATGCAAAACAATAAGTTATGTGTATCTAAATCCTTGGCCCGGCATCTAGAGAATTTCACCCCGCACCTTGGTCCGGCTACGTGTGTATCATTTACTAACCCTTACCATTACCTCATATTAGACGTCACATCGATGTATGACTTAGTTTTCACCCTCGCACCAATCGACATTAATTCTATTAGATAGTATCACACTAAATCTATGTTGATAATTCTTTTCTTATTAACTACCTCCTTGGTCCGGCAAGTAGCAACAAGGCGAGTTTTAACACATGCTCTCGTTAAAAAGACTTCTAAACGAAAGAATTACTAATGCATGCAACAACACTTTGTTAATCGCTCATGGTTCCACAACCCTAGTTGTGGATTTAGTTACCCGTATTAGCAAGAACACGATTCATAGTTTTAGAAGAAGAAATCATGAACTTACGTAACAAGAATAATAAACCCAGACTTCAACTTGAATTTCAACACCAAAATCTTCAAAACGAACTTAGAAAATTAAGTATTGCTAAAGTTGCAAGTTGATCTCCCAAGTCAAGAACTAGAATAAAAGTAATAAAGTCTAACCCCAAAAACGAGGTTTACGTACCCTATTTATAGGAAAACAAGTCCTAACTAAAAAGGAAACGAAATAAGGAAATAAAGTTTACATGATGCGTCTTTAATCTACGACACTGACCTATGGTCCGTAAGTCTATCTACGGTCCGTAGGTCCTTTCCGTGGCTCAGGACTTGGGCAATTTTTCAATCTTCAAAATCTTCCAAACTTCTGTTATATTCGACGGTTCAACAGTACGGACCGTAAGTTAATCTTTGGTCCGTAACTCCTCTCCGTAGCTCCATACTTAGACTTTTCAGCATCAGGTGCTGGAACCAAATTTCTGTCACATTTTACGGAGCAACAGTACGGTCCGTAGATCAATCTACGGTTCGTAAGTTGCAACCGTGGTTCTACACTTGGTCGAGAATTTCCTGATCTTCAGCCATGCCTTGCCTGCCCATCGACGTCCATCATTTACGGGGCGTAACTGGACCTATTGTTTGTAGGTTTCCTCCGTAGATGCTGTTTTTGCACGTCTTTCAGCTGTGTCTTCAAATCTCCGCATCTGAACTTATTCCTGAAAACATGAGAAAACACATAAGAACTAATACAGAATGGCCCTAGACACACACAACTCTCAAGTGAAATGTATTAACAATACCGTAAACTCACGGTATATCATTAATTTCTAACATTTATTTTGTTAATTTAGATGAATCTTTGGGAGAAATATTTTTTATTTTGTTATTCAAGTTTTCAAATCCCAAAACCCATTTTAAGTTAGGTAATTTAAGCTTATAGAATGACTTAAAGAACCTTTCATGTTCTTTCATAGTTATTGAAAAGCTTTGAATCCATGTTTATGAGTTTGAACTAACTATTTAGTTCAAATTTTTGAATAGGATAAAATTGTTAAGTTTCTTAAGATAAATTAGTTGTCCTTTAATTTAACTTAGTACTTTGTATGAATGACTTAAGGATCCTTAATATCCTTTCATAGTTGTTAAACAAGGTCCTTTAATCCATGTTTATGAGTTTGAATTAATTGTATGGTTCAAAACATGACTATGGATAAAAGTTTTAAGTTAAGATTATTCTTGAGATTTTTAGAAGTATCAAGATATTTTTATAAGTAACCCTTTTTTTTTAATAAAATTAGCCAAGCTTTTAAATCCATCGGTCAATCGCGTGTTAGCAAATTCTCTAAGATGCCTAAACCCCTCCTTAGAGAATTATTTGAACCCTTACCTGAGTCTGATTTTATTTAAAATGTTTTCTTTCAAATATTCCCCTATTATTCTTAATTTTTCCTAAAAATTAAGTGGCGACTTCCAAATTGTTATTTTTCCCAAAAATCAATAAACTTGCAAAAGTTATGAAATGGTTTCGAAACCTTTAGTTTTTGAAATCGGGTCGTAACAAGCTGGATAACAAATAACTAAATGAAAGGAGTGCAATAGATATAGACATATACTCAACTAAATGTAAAGAAATAAAGAGGTGAAATTATTAAAAGTTTACAAAAATACTTACTTATTTTTGAACTTAGCATAATAAGTGATATAATAAAAATACTCTTTTAACTCTATTTGGTAGATTCTCTTACCGATAACCATCACTATGAGCTACGTGATGATACAACGTCTCGCCCACCCTGCCAGAACAAGATTAAAACTCTTTCTCAAAACTCATCTTTATTTTCTCAGAAAATCAGTATAAGGCATAAATATCTATTTTAAAAGATTCTCAAAATTTTTAACTTAAAATAGGGTTCATTCTGAAATATAGACATGAACAAATCAACTCAATGATCTCAATAATAATATGAAAAACTCAATACTCAGAAATAAAGAACTCAAAACTCAATTATACTACTCATCTCAAGAATACTCAATTCATAGCGTTCATGTTGAAATATATCTTAATGCCTAACAAATGGCAATTCAATAATTAGGAATAGAATTTCAAAAGAATCAGGAACTCAAGAACTCAAAATCATCTCATCTCAAGAATACTCAAATCTAGGGATAAAATTCTAGATTACTCTTTTACTGATTTGAAAGTAGATGTAGGGCGTAAAGAAGAACTAGTCCAACACTATGATAACCTTACATACCTGGAAGAACAAGGTTCTTGAATAATCTTGAAGAAGAACTTGATCAGAAGCCTTGAAACTCTAGCTTGAAGGAGAACAATCAAAAAATCCTTTCTTGAATTAGTTTCTTGAAATCTCTACGGCCAAGAATTATAATTTTTATTAGTGATTCATAATTGTATGGAAGAATTTGAATTGGAAAGAATGAAATTCTTGGAGAAGGACTTACCTTGAAAAAGAATCTTGAAAAATATTGAAAGAATCTTAAAAAAGATTGAAAGAATCTTGAATGAAAGTATTCTACTTTGATCTTTCCTTAGGGTTTTGCCTTAGGGGTGAGAGAGAAGAAAATGAGGGATTAAGAGATGAAAATCTGATTTTTTGGGCCTTTAATTAGTTAAGAAATTCGTTTAGGGTTTTCTTAGAGGTAAAAAGACAAAAACAACCCTTTTTAATGTTTTCCCGTCGGCTAATTCATCACTTCACTGTATCAGGTTACTAAAATTGTCATAACATTTTACTGAGAACTTAGATTGTTGTGAAATTGGTGGCGTTGGAAAGATTATTCAAATACATTTAATATAATAGATTATGGTCCACGTAACCCTATATATTCTAAGAGATATGGTTGTTTGAAGTTGACCCAAGTAGAATCTTACATCAAAACTTAATTGGTATAGAAGCGTTCAACCCAACTTTGTGCTAGGGGATTCTAGTGACCTAACTCATATCCAAATTCATTTCCACATTAAATAATTGACCTTTACATACATGAGAAATTTAAGAATCATCCGGTACAATCTTATTTACAAATGAAGAATGATTTGAGTCTTAACTTAGAAATTTTTGGGGTGTTACAATTGAAAAGTGAAATATACATGTATATTTTGGTTAAACCAAAAATACAAAAACACATACTGAAACCGAACTAAAATGCTGAAAACACAAAAAAACATACCAAAAAGTGAAATACCAAAAAAATTTGGTTCAGTTTGATATCTTGATTTTTCGATATTTATGTCCAAACCCCATCAGTAATAGTGTTCCATTTGGCTAGTCTATCACTGGTCAATAATCTCCTTAAAGTAACTAAGAACAATATAAACTTCCATTTTGGGGCACCATGATTGTTACATACTATTCTTCTCAAGTGTACTTTGGTATAAGTTCGCCTTAACTAAGAGTATATTAGCTTTGTACTCAACTTATTTATAGCAACCACTTCCTACTCATTATATCCAGTAGCTTTAACACTATCATTGGCCTTAAGAATCTTCTTTATCATCCAAGATGCTTGGGGGCATTTGTATGCTAGATCGGCCCCCTTTGATATAATATGCGTGAATCCATTGGATCCATAGTCTATATTTCTTCAAGAAAAAGTTACATAGATGTTTGCAAATTGCAGCTCTATTCCAGTCTGTAATATCTAGGAATCCCATTCCCCTTGCTGCTTTTAGATTGCATAATTTCTCTCGTGCTATTATTGATGTCTTTATAGTGTCAGCTCCACCAGACCACAATAACTTTTTACACAATGATATTGCCACTTGGATCACCTTTTGTGGAAGGATGAAAACTTGCGACCAAAATACTTGGATAGAAAATAGGATATTTTTTGATCATTTGCACCCGACCTGCATATGACAAAAATCTAGATGTCCAGAATTTTATCCTATCCAACATCTTATCTAGTAGTGATTTATATTGGATAATGATTGTCTTCTTTGATGTGAGAGGGATGCCAAGATATTTGAAATGAAGGATACCTTTGGCAAATACCAAACTCTGTAATATTGCTTCCTGCTCAGCCATTGGTACACCTCCAAATTAAATAGAGCTCTTCTCAATGTTTGTTACCAGACCAAATGCATTAGAGAATACATTAAAATATTCATAGATCATACGAACAAATGTTAGATCACCTCTACTGAAAAGTAGTAAGTCGTCAGCAAAGCCAAGATGTGTGATGGACAACTTCCCACACTTGGGATAAATGTTAAAATCAAGTTGGTTCTTCAAAGTTGGTAGTTGTCTATTCAAGTATTCCATAGACAACACAAAGAGATAAGGGGATAAGGGATCACCCTGTCTAAGGTCCTTTTTTGCATTGAACGGGACAGTAGGCACACTATTAATGAGTATAGAGTAAGACACTTTGGTAACACATGTCATAATCCAATTCACAAATATAGGTGGGAAATTGATAATTTTCAATACCTGCTCTAGAAAAGGTCATTCAATAGAATCATAAGCTTTCTTCATGTCGATCTTCATCATGCATCTAGGGGATATATGTTTCCTTCCGTACCATTTGATGATATCATGGCTCATGATAATGTTATCAGTGATCACTCTCCCTGGAACAAACGCAGATTTGCTAGCATGCACTAGCCCATCCATTGTCACTCTCATCCTAGCAGTTAAAACCTTTGAGATGGGATTATAGAGAATAGTACAACATGATATTGGCCTGTATTTAATGACCTTAGTTGGGTTCTTGACTTTAGGAATCAGTGTTATAATTGTTTAGTTTATGTCCTTAAACATTTTTCAGTTGAGAAGTATTCCAAGATAGCATTTTTGACCTCCTCGCCTATGACATTCTATGCTTTCTTAAAGAAATAAGTGTTGTAACCATTACATCCTGGTGCTTTTGAGTCCTCTATCCCTTTAAGTGCATTTAGGATTTCTTTCTTAGTAACAAATTCAATGAGTTTCAATTGATGTTGTCTATCCAGCATAGGATTGGATTTACGGTAGGTAAGTGTGTAGCTGCAGTTCCCAGCACACCTCTGTAGAAGTTGATTATCTCATTTTTGACCTCATCTTGTGTGAGTAGGACAATACCAGCAGATGTAGTAAGACTCTTAATTTTGTTATGGGATATTCTAGATTTTATGCTAGCAAAAAAAAGGATCTATTTGCATCTCCTAATTTTAGCCAAGTCATTCTAGATTTCTTCTTTAAGATACTCCCAACAATGTTGTCCCATTTTTGTAGTTATAGCTTAATGCCAATCTTTTTTTTGAGACTTCGCTATCGTGGGCTAGATGGATAGCTAGTAGTTATGAGCAGCAATCCTCTGACAATAGATATGAAAAGATGTAGAGGTGTGTTCTCCTGTCTAAAAATATCATGATCATGTTCAGGATGTCTCATGGTGGTTTGGATATCATCCAACTGTTGTCTTAGAATGTTAAGTTGATATCAATTTAAGACTTTTCCAAACACTTTTCATATACCCTTCTCTTCTACTATGAAGCCACACTCTCTGCACAACCCCAAAAACTCTTCATGATCGACAATACAATTCAAGAATCTGAAAGGTTTTGGGTATTCATAGTTTTCCATAGCAATCTGGACTCTAAGTGGAGAATGGTCTGGAAATTTTGGGTCCATAACGTGGACTTCTAGTTGTGGGAACATTAACATCCACTCCCCATTGACTAGAACTCGATCGATCTTTCTAGAAATATGTCTGTTAGTCCAAGTGAAACTTCTACCCCTTGATCGCATTTCAATTATACTACTATCAAGTAGGAATTCATTAAAGTCCACAATTTCCATTTCTCTAACTAGATTTCCTATTATTCTGTCTTCAGAATCAAGTATAGCATTATAATCTCCCAGTGCTAGCCAAGCCCCTTGTTGATTCATATGTATCTCCCTGGGATCCTGCCATAGCATTTTCCTATCCTCCATCGTATGAAGCCCATATACTTCAGTTAAGTTGAACACAATTTGAGAGCTTTCCACACATACTATATGATGTGAGGCAAAATTACATATTTTAAATCATTATTTGCCTCACATTTATTATTTTTATTTGTTATTTTTGGGCATGAATTTTTGTGGATTGTACTTAATAGTATATTTTATTTGTAGGATTAAATTGGTGTGAAGATAGAGAAGTTTGGAGCTAAAATGAATTAAAAATGAAAGGTTGAAGAATGAAAGCAGAAAATTTGATGGATTAAATTGAACATTATATTAATATTTATATACATTCAAATGTACGCAGAATTGAAAGGAAGCAGATTTTGATAGACAATTATCTTGTTGCCACATGGCACTGAATGAAGGCACCTCCAATTTCGTGTAGGTTTTGCTTTCCCAATTTGTTTGGACTCTACTATTTTTTTTTAGGGTTTTCTACATTTATAAATAGTCCATAAGAATAATTATTGGAGGATATACGGAGACTTTGGAAGGATACGTTGTCGATACTTTTTTAGGATTCTTTTCTTATTTTTTCTCTTCTTAGGCATTAGTAACTGAAGACCTTTGTTCTAGGGTTGTGGCTACATGATGATTGTATAGTATTGAATTTTATGTATTAAAAATTGTCATCGCATAAAATGCTCTTTTGTTCTTATTTTAGTATTTTGTGAGTGACCACCATTGAAATAAATATATTGTCTCAATTGAACTAGGGAGAGGAATATGAGGATAGAACGTGGGACAAAAAGAGCACGATCTTCTCTAGAATTAGGGTTGATTTGTATCTAGGATAGGGATATACCTAGAGACATTGCTTGGTTACTAAACAAGATGATAACTTAATGCCCCGCAATTGATTCAGTTTATCCCCGATCAACGATGTAGTTAGACTGCCAAGAGGTCGAGAGACCATGATCATACATTTAACCTTGTAAATCAGCGATTTTGATAACTAATTGAAGTCCATAGAAGAAGATACCATGCATGAATTCTAAGTAAGCTGCTGCCCTTAAATTTCCCCAATCATTAGTATACGTCTTTTATTCTTGCATTCTAATAAGGTAAATTCTTTTGGTACACTTGAATAAATAATCAAGATTAGTATAACAAAGCAATAACAAAAGATGAAATGTTTAAAGTTTCATTAATAAAAGATACTAACACAAAGATGTGTATAAAAATACAATAAGTTACTCTTCACTCTTATTTGGGAGATTCTCTAACCGACAACCATCATTGTGAGTTATGTGATGATACAACGTCTCGCCCACACTTTTAAAATTGTCCTATACCTTGTCGGGGTATAGAACACCTCAACTAAGTGGATCCACTAAGCTATGCTCGAAAGCAATAAGGAGTCATCTAAAAAGTACGATCATTTACCCATGTTGGCTACATGGTTTATGAGGAACGTGAGTTGTCATAACTCATACCCATATCGGTTCTCAATACTACTCCCAATAAATATATATACTCATGCTCAAATGTCTAAAACATATTCTTTCTCAATTTAAGGTAATTACACAAAATGTCCTCTTAAAAAAAGTAACTGCTCTGAATTAATCTCTAAACTCATTACTCTTTTTAGAAATCAAAGTTTCTCTTTTTCAATGTAAAACTGTTATCCGCATCCTAAATGCCTCCGAACACTGCTAAACGATAAAATTATCAATCACAACGTCATCACATGCATTTTGACACTGAAATTGGAACAATTGAAAATGGAGCCAAAATGGAGTCAAAATGAGAATGTGAGACCCACACATGGAATTTTGAAATTGACTCCGTCAAAAGGACCTAATCGACTAGTTGAGCTTGTGCCCCGAAACGGGGATCAATTCCATGCTCGGAATAGCCCAAACCACCACATGCAAAATTAATAAGAAAACCAAGCTAAGACAGTAGCTTCGAGCTAAAATTTACCTCAAACAAAGGTTCTTTGACAATTTCTAATCACAAACCCAAGTATCCACGCTCCCTGCGATCACACAAGACTTCGAATTACTCAAATCAGAGCTTGGATGAGGGAGAAATTGCCATTTGAAAATGAGGGCTTAAAGCTGAAATTTTTGGGTTATATATACCCAAATTTGGACTCTAAGTTTGATATTTGGTCGCTAAAAACCTGCACCAGATATCAACAGTTTGCTCCGAATTCTCTAATGGGGTGTCCAAGATTCGTTCGGAACCCCGTGTGTGCTAACAAAATATTCTACCCCATCAAATTCGATATTTCAGACTCAACGAGCCCATCAAAACTCTCATCCGAGGTTATTTCTATGAAAAATGGGTCTTACACTCAAGTTCCATTTTAAAACCACAAGAAGACTCAAAATGAGACCAAAAGCCTAGGGAACCGCACGAGAGGTTGTTCTAGACCAAACTCGACATTTCTGAGCTAACCGCACTGATGAAATTCTCATCTGAGCACGTTTACCAAGAATATTGACCAATGTCAACCCTTGACTTAAGCTTCTAAGTTAAAACGCCTAACGGCAGAAACTTACACCTGAAGTCTCGGGGCTCAAACCAACAATGCCCCTAGCCTAAAATGGCGCTTTCAGAGCTGATGAAACCGTCAAAATTATTGTAACACCCAAAAAATTTCTAACTTAAGCTCCTAACCATTCTTGAATTGTGTATAAGGTCGTACTAAGTGACTCTTAATTTTTTTAGGTGTTAAGGTCAATTCTTTAGTGTGTGAATGAATTTGGATATGAATTAAGGTCACTAGAATCTCTTAGCACAAAGTTGATTTGAAAGTTTCCTTACCGATTAATATATCTCTTAGAATATAAAGAGTTACGTGGCTATCAAATTAAAGGTATTTGAGTTTTTTTTCCAAAGCCACCAATTTAGCGTCAATTCAAGTTTTGAGTAAAAAGCTTTGACTATTTTAGTAATGTCACGACCCAATTTCTCGAGTCATGATGGCACCTACTATGCCCTACCAGTAGGTAAACCAACCGGTAACCCATAACATCAAGCAATGAGCGAAAGTGCAGAAACTACCAAAAACAATAATCTAAACAAGGACAACAAGGCGGAAGCAAACCAAAATAAATATATACAGAAATCACTCCCAGAACCTGGAAGTCACTAGTACAGAGCTATCTAATAAAGAGTACAAGTCCCAAAAGTGGACCACAACAAAGCGTGTCTCAAAGGCAACAAGACTAGCTAAAACAAAAGAAGGAGACAAGACAAACCCAAAACGCCAAGTACTTGCCCTCGTCTCCGAATCACAGCTGCAAAAGAAGGCTGGAACTAATCACCGCTGGTAACTGGTACTGGGACCTGCATCTCGAAGTAGATGCAGAGCGTAGCATGAGTACCAAAACAATAGGTACTCAGTAGGCATCACAAGCCGACTGAGCAAAAAGGGTAAAAACAATAAGAAAGGATATAATCTAGACACACAAAGGTCAAAATGGATATGAAAAGAAAGCACACGAGCATACCAGAAATAAACTAAGTACAACTAAACTAAACCTAATTGGACCCCCATAAGCCCAGAAGGTACACTCGTGCGCAAGTTTAAATAAAACCTGAACGGACCCCCATAAGCCCGACAGGTACACAGAATAACTAAGTCTAATGAGAAAGAAGAAAACCGGGCTCCCAGCCCAAAGTAACCAAGATAATCCATTAGACTCCACCAAGCCAGAAATGCACTCCCAGCCCAGCTAGAAAGAGAGACCCTAGGGGGCACCCAACCAAACAGTCCACTCCCAGCCCAGTTAGAAAGAGGGACCCGTGAGTGAGGTAGATATCGCGAGTCGTCCTACCATGCAGTCAGCTCCCATCCCAGCTAGAAAGAGTGACCCGGGGACACCCAGCCAGCAGCACACTCCCAACCCAGCTAGAAAGAGAGGCTCGGGGGAGATCGCTGATATCACCGAGTCTACCCAGCCAGCGATACTCTCCCAGCCCAGCTAGAAAGAACGACCCCATGGGTGATGATATCTCTAATAGGATCCAATCCAACAACAGCCACCATGGAACACCGTCCACTCTAAGAAATAACAGAAAAGGCTCGAAAAAATATCAGAAATCTCGGGACACAAAAGAAGGGTCAATCTAGACCAAACTCGACATTCCGGAGCTAACCGCGCTGACGAAATTCTCATCCAAGCGTGTTTACTCAGAATGTTGACTAAAGTCAAACTTAGGCTTTAAAACTTAAAGTTAAAACGCCTAATCGCCCTGACTCACACTGAAATCCTCGGGAGTCATGCCGACCATGCTACTAGCCTAAAATGACCCTTCCAGAGCTGATGGAATCGTTAGAATTGGATTCTGATGTCATTTTCTTAAACTTTTGATCGAAAATGATCGTTCAAGGTTCATATGCTCCAAAAACACTAAAACTCGCACAAAAGTCAAACGAACGACCAGTTGACCGAACTGTAAGTCCCAGCAAGTGATAAATGACTTGGGGTCGCTACAGGAACGCTCTAGACGAAACACCGAAGGCACAACACAGAAATGACCAGGAGGGTCATTACAATATCCACTACTAAGAAGGACTTTCGTCCGCGAAAGTAAGGGTCAAGAAGTACCTGAAGGCTCAAACAAGCTGGGAAACTGCTCTCGCATCTCCTGCTTGGTCTCCCAGGTAGCCTCCTCGACTGGACGATGCATCCAATGGACCTTAACAATAGGAATGGCTCTCGAGCACAACCTCCTCACATCACTGGCTAGAATGGCAATTGGCTCCTCTACAAATGTCAAACGGTCATCCAACTCGACTGCATCATACTGGAGCACATGGGACTCATCAGTAACATACCGGCGCAACATCGAGACATGGAAAATCGGGTGGATGGTTGAAAATGTTGGAGGTAGGGCCAACTCATAAGCAACCTCCCCAACTGTCCGGAGTATCTCAAAAGGCCCAATGTACCTGGGGCAAAGCTTGCCCCGCCTCCCAAACCTCATCAAGCCCTTCATGGGTGACACACGGAGAAATACCCGATCACCAACAAAGAATCTCAAAGGTCGACCGCCTCCGATCTGCACAACTCTGGTGCCTACTCTGAGCCGTCCTAAGTCTATCCTTAATCACTCTCACCTGGTCCAAAGACTCTTGAATCAAATATGTACTCCGCGGCCTAGGCTCTGTAGACTCAAACCAGCCCACCGGAAAGCGACAACGCCTACCATACAAGGCCTCGAACGAGGCCATCTGAATGCTAGAATGGTAGCTGTTGTTATACCCAAACTCCGCCAATGGCAAGAACTGGTCCCAATGACCACCAAATTTCAAAACACAAGCCCGCAGCATGTCCTCAAGGACATGAATAGTACACTCCGACTGACCATCAATCTACAGGTGGAAAGTTGTGCTAAGGTCAACTCGAGTGCCCAACTCATCC